CAACAGTAAATCATATTAAGGTACTGTACCTTCAATTCTAATGAATGCGTGTTCATTAAATTTCAATTATGGGAAAACAACACTTAAAGTGTTGCATATATCTTCGACAGCAGCGAAACTAAAAGGGATAGTCAATATACGAGTATAAATAATACTGTATTTGTTTTCGGTTGTTACATTTTCCCTTATGACTTTTAGTCATTACAGGGAAAACTACTATTCATATTCTATAATACTTTCAACAATATATAGATATATCCTGAAAGTAACTGATACAAAACGAGTACGAGTATAAAATATACTTCGTATTAACAATATATTCAATTCGGTATATTATCTAACTCATTAAATTAGTAAAAATGAAGCATTTTTAAGGTTTACAAGTTTTCAATGTAAACAATTATTACAGAAATTCATAGCGAAGTTCACGGCAAAGTTTTCTTTTGCTTTTTTTCGTAACTAATAACTAAATACGGCAGTAATTTTATGCGAATATTTTTCTCATTTTCTGTACAGAAGTGTTCTAAATTTGGCACTTTATCTAAATGTCAAGCTCGTTTTTAAGATAATTAATTATTCATTTTATCAACACCACGACTACAATCAATAACTGTTACTAGTTACACATTACTAATAAAATTTATTGTATTACTATTGTTAATTAAACGATAAATAAATAAATTAACAAAAACGTATTGTTATTATTTATATTTTTCTTCTATACAGTTATATTTATATAAAATAGAAATAAATAATTTATTTTATTCTGTACGACATAGCATCCACTAAAATAAGTAATGTTTTTATTTCATAAATTTTGAAATTAATCATTTCTTTTATTAAAATGAAAATATAAAATTATATCATCTATTTTACTTTATATAATGTTTTGGCTAACGTAAAATAACGTAAAACGTATCTAAATATAACGTTTTCTTTTTTTAAAAAATATTTTGAGATGTGTTAGTATGATAGAATACTTTTTAAAAATCTATAATTTATTGTTTTAAAATATTAAAATTACAAAAGAATAAGAAAAAAAAACTGTATTAATTTAATATACTGGTAAGAGTATATGAAGATATGGCATATATATTAAATTATGATCCATGTTTACCAGGAATTCTGACAGATTTAAGAAAATGTTAGTACTATTTAAAAGTTTGATATAATAAAAATACTAATATATTTAAATATTTTAGCTTTATATCCAACTTATATGTTTGATCAAATAAATAAATCAAAATTTAAGTTTTATTGAGTAAAAATACACACAGAATACATCTTAAAATGCATTTTATAGATTTATACACATTTGATTTTTCCAAATCATCATTTTTTGATCTAAGATATATTGTATTCTACAGTATATTTTATCAAAAAAAATAATTATTCAAATTGTAAAATTAGTGGACACTTTATATTGTTGCTAAATTTTCCGACAAATCCGCGAGAAGCAATAAAATCCTGCACTAAAATACAGTACCAAATATTTATAATAATATAAATATCATTCAGTTATACCCTGTTAAATTGATAAATTTTTTAATCAAATCAGTAAATTAAAAATACTTTACTGTTATAATATTGCTCTGTTGAAAAGCTTGCTACTTAAATGTAGCAAACTTTTGATTTATTAAAATCCTTTGCTTTAACTCTACAGAAGCAATAAAATAAAATCAAAAAAATTCCTGTTAGCAGCAATTTCTTTGTTTTTATTTTGTAATTTTATGTTATTAAATTTAGAAATGTTTTCCTTTCATATCTATAAGAAATGACAGCTTACCATTTTATCTACTTTTTATATAATGCTGTTTATCTTTTACAAACATAATTTAAATCTTTTATTACATATTTAGATAAATGTAGTTTTAGTAAATTATTAACACATCTTAACAATTTCTTTAAATCAAATATTTTATATCTGATAATTATTTTAAAAGTCTACCATTCAGACAATTTCAAAATATATTTAAAATCCAATATGCAAAATTCATTCATTTTTTTATTCAAAAGATTTAAATATCAAACAATAAATTCTATTCATTGACCTATAAAATTAATTCAAATGTTTTAAAATTCAATTTTTAATTAAATATTTTAATAACATTAAATCAAAAACCTCAAAATTTTAAAGATAAAAATTATCTTATGTTTTAGTTTATTTTATATAAAAATAAGATAAGGTATTTTATTGATATTGCAATAAGTATTGTCTATATACTTTCAAATTTACAAAATTTTATCTGAATAAAATGTCATCGAATTTCATCGAATTTCGGACGATAAATTTAGAACATTTTGTAAAAGTGTAAAATAATGATTAAATTTCTTGGTTTCAATCTTGCGTAATTAAACAAAGTTTTGTCAATAAGTTATAAATTTTATAATTGTTTTGAATGAAGAATTTTCAATAGGAAAAGTAATTATTCTATTATCAAATTGCATTAAAAACTTTGTATTGTTTTAATTTAAAAATTTTTTAATAAAAATATGAGGAAAATCTGTTATTCTGTTCTGACTTTAGAGGTGATTCACACATTCAAACAACACTTATCACAAGAAAAGGGTTATTTATTCTCACTTTCACCATACAACCATAAGTTACCTATCAAATGCATTTTGCCAAAGTGATTACGCTTTGGCCTCTCGAGTGATACAATTTAATGAGAGTGCAGCATTTTATAGTTTACGTATCTATCCCAACATGCATAGACATTAATGCCATTATTGAAATTAATATTATTTATATTTTCTTTATTTATTATTGAAAAATGTTCTTTAATTTTTCTCTTAATTAACAGTATTATTACATAAAATTTTTTTTTGATTGAAATTTTTAAATTTGATTAATTTTCATATTTTTTGAAAACCCTGCTAAACTCTGTCGATTATGCAATATTCAGCAAAGGAAAAAAAATGTTATGAATAAGCATGACAAATTTTTAGTATTTACTCATATCTTTTTCTTTGCTGAGTATTTAAGGCAGTGTTTCTCAACCTCTAACAAATTGTTGCCCCCTTCAACGTAGTATCGCCCCCTTCAATAAAACTGTTATGTAGTATCACCCCCTTCACTTCAAAATTCCGATGCTGAGAGCCAAATTCGCACTGCATTGAATAGACTAGTGACTAGTATAATGTTATTTGTTTAATTATTGTATGATGTAATGAATAAAATATCTAATAATTCTTAATATAATGTTTTACTATATCGCCCAGAAAATTGTTTTTCGCCCCCCAAAATATAAATTGTTACTAATCGCCCCCTCAACATGGAAAAACGCCCACATGGGGGCGATATCACCCCCGTTGAGAAACACTGATTTAGTCTAGGTTATATCATAAGTTCATCTTAATATCAACTAAAATGAATTAACATATATACTATATGTTTATTTCAATCATTATAATTATATATCAATAGAATGTCCCAGTTAAAGCAGTGGAAAAAATGTTTAGAAAATAATGACCAACTGTATCTCAGTTATGCATCAAGAAGAAGAATAACTACAATTTTATATAAAAATAAAACTTTCTTTTAACATAATATTCCAGTAACAATATTTGTTTCTTCTACAAACCAAAACTGCAATTGAAACGAAAAACTAGAAAAAAATTAAAATTTTATTCCTTTGATACAATACTAATCTCTCAGATTTTTAGTAGATATAATCATATTATATTAGAGAGTTTGGATAATGATATAGCTATTATTTGTAAAATTCTGTTCTTGCATTTAATTTATATATTGTTAATTGAATGACGAATTAAAAAAAACCCATGTTTTTTATTTATTTAATGGGAATAACTATGTAAAACAAAAAACAGACCATCGTGCTTTCAGATTCTCAAGCATCGTAGCCACTCGGCAAGTGGTAATCTGGCAAACAATCAATGTTTATTGTAATTTTTAAAATTGTGTCATATTTTAGCTCTCCGTTATATATATATTTTAGTTTGCTTTCCAAGACTTTTTTGGTTGATTTCGAAACAAATAATAAATTCTATTATTACTAGCATTTGTCTCTTTATTCTGTACATAACTAAACTATATTTATCTCATCTGCATATTCATTTTGTACAGGAAACTAAATAAAACAAACATTTTAAAAATATAAACTATAATTGTCTACCTTAAACGCACGGGCAAAATTTTTTCGGAATTTGAAGGAAACTCGACGTATTTCCGCAATCAAACGACGATAGAAAATACAAAAGTCGACCAAAATTGCACAATCGGAGGCGAAAAGAAATACAATACTCCACCTACCTGAAAATATAAGGAACCAATTATGCCTGTCATAAACAATAGCATACCAAAAGAATTTGAAAAAGTCATAACTGGAAATGAAACTCGAGAATCAAACGTTTATTTTTTTATTAATTCTACTTGTCGATAAAAGTAATAAATAATCCAAGACCAAGAATGTTTGGAGAATAAAGCATCTAGTGTTTTCTGTAGTTACACAACTACTTTCAATACAGATAAGGAATCTCTCCTACTTTAGCAGTAATCAAACAATTCTTCAATACTCGGCATTTAACAATTGAATATACGCAACTGTTCCGTTAACACTCGATTCATTCGTAACGGATTAACAGCAAAAGAGAAATAACCGGGACAATTATTACGGCGTTTAACGTACGGACAGTATTACCGTCTTTCCAACAGCTATTTAAATCATCCGATTTAAATGCAACGGAACATATAATTTGTAAAAAACGAAATACAGTATTGTAAAAAATAAAACAAGTCCCACATTTAAAATATTAGTAGTCTGGTGGTTTATCAGTTTTCGATATTAACATTTGGAATTTAAAAGTTTAAATAAATTGAGAAAATTGATATAATGGAAATTACACACTAAACTCTTAAAAGCAGTCAGTAATTATTTAGGCTGTTTTCCTACAGGAAGTAAAGAGAAATGGTATTCGCTGTTATTACAGTGTGCAGGTAGTGTGTTTACACGATCAGATTTAGAGGAAAGAGAACTTACCTCTCTCTCGGGCCGTCGTCGTTGGACTCGGCATTCCTGAGAACCGTACTCAAACGTTCTTCGCTGTTGGAGACTCTTCTGATGAACTTATTGAATGTTCGATCGTCTAACTTATCTAGTCGAGTGTGTTCGCGGGTGGAAGCTTCGCTCTTCCGATTAAATATATTGAGATTGGTGTCCCTGTGGGAACCATCCAGTGATATGTTGGATAGGAAAGTGAGAGCCGCAAGACGTCTTCTCGCGTGTTGTCTATCACGAATCGTTGTCATAATTAACATTTAAGTGCGGAAATTGTCCAAAATCGCAGACGATCATTTCCATCACCGATAATCGATGTTGACAATAAGGCTTAAGTAATATATACTTTTTACCTTCGACGCGAACGGTATGCATATATTTGGACCCATTGGACTATTTATACTTCTTCCGTGGACGTTCGTTACACGGCGTAACTCGTTACTTGCAAAAATACGCGCATTCTTCGCTATGCGAGTATTTCTCTCGGGCAGCCGACTTCGTTCTCCGCCACCGGAAGTGGCATCACCACGACGGAAGTTACATCACTCGGCGTACCGATTCACTCCGGCAGCAAATAGCGGGAATTTTGACTTTCCGACCAATTCTCTTCCAATTAAAATTATTTACAAAGAGATTTTGAGTAATAATATTTATAAATATATTTGTTATACGCGAGTTAATTATAATTTCGTCTGAACCAATCGAGATAATGTTTGTATTCGATTTGATTCGACTCTCAACCAATCGTAATGTACGAAAGTTAAATTATGTACTTTATAGTTGTTTATGGAAGAAACGGGATTTTGCTCATTACGCCACGTCTCATAAGTTATAAATGCCATTTTGGAGAACTGCACACTTTCACTTTTATCATTTTTCCACTTAAAAAGCAAAAATTCTCTTTTCATGAATTTTTTACTCAAACAAAATAGAACTTTGAAACTTTCTAAAAACTTACAATAAAATTTTCAAAACTTGAATTCGACAAAATTAAAATTCTTCTTGTGACTTTATTAAAAATGAAATATTCTAAAAAATAATTTCATTTATGAAAATGTAACATTTTTATGATTATTACCAGAAAATTTATTGTTTTATAAGCTAATTTAAACATTTAGATTACCTGCATTCATTTGCTGCAATAAAAGAAACGGTAGCACCGTTTATCTTTGTCTGGCTTTTAAAAAATAATTTTTTTATTATTATTCGTAAGCAAATAATATCTTGGGGTTTGATAATATTTTTAGTTTCAAATTTATAAAAATTAGAGAATGGAGCCATTAGAAGGCTTAAATTGTGTAAGGCCACCGTGGCCAGATCACACTATATTTGATACAAGAGGTGTAGGATTTAAGCCTCGGAGGCACGCATTTTCACTGTCTGAGATTCTTAATTAATAAAGCGAGGCCTTAGGCAAAAGCATAGCTTACCTATAACTAAATCTACGGCTTATCGGAGGCCTTTATGAGGCCTCCGTTGTATTTAAAAGCACAACAGAATAAAACTTGTATTAGGCCTATGTATTTTTTTAATAAAATAATTGACTAAAAGATTTTTTAATATGCAGGAATTGCAACGGAACATATAATTTGCAAAAAATTGCTTTTGAAGACACGCTGTATATGAGGCCTAAGCTTCGCGATAGGGCCTACCTAAAACCTCCATTAAACGCAGTTAACTTCATTAAAAAAATTACGATTTAAAATTTATTAATGGAATTCAAAAATTATAATACATAAAACGATTTCTGTACTCGACCTTATTCTACATTCTCCTTTCGTAAAATGATTTCATTTCGTGTCTTTGACCCACCTCCATATATTTTTATATACAGAAGTAAAGTATATCTTTCACCATTCGAAGTAATGTAGAAAATTTGCTGACATCATTTGATGGATTGTATCAACATTCCCTATAAAGCGAAGTTTATCTTTTCGGATAGTGCGCATCACGTTTCCGAACAACACTTAAGTAAACCAACGTCTTAACGCGGTGAAAGTTACTGGATTAGAAACGAATGGAATTGATGAGTTTGGCCGATGAGAAATACGCTATTGGAATCTTCGTAGAAAAAATTAAAGATTGCCTAGTTACGTTGTAAAAATTTAATGTTACTAGAGCAACGAGGAATCGTTTTCGAAATGACAAACGACATCTGTCAACACCAAGTGGTATTCGGTTGCTCAACAAACCGACGTAACTTATACAAGACATAATCGAGATTTAAACTTAGATTAATTGCCAAAAATTATGCCAAATTTAAGCACAATTGTCCTAGAAATTTTGAAGTATTACGATAGAAAAAATTCGTAACCAAGAGATTGTAAATTTTAATGCCGTTCCTTACTTATATGATTGAACTTTAAGTATAAAATAAATCTTAGTGTTCTAAATTATTTCTGCGCTATTAATATAGTAAGTTATATGACAAGAAAAAAGGAAACAAAGCAACGGTGTTCAATTTTTACTTCGAATCCCTTCAAGTTCTATTATAGCCACACGCTGTTGCCAGGAAATGACGTAGTTTAACGTTGGCATTTATCCAGGGTAGAGAGGGGAAGTAAATTACGATGCGAAAGAAGAAAAAACATATATAAAATCAAAATGGCTACCCCGCTCGCTCTATTTTGAAATTTATAAATAAGCAAACATTTATAATAAAATTTCCTTTAATTAATTTTAATTTCAAGTCAGTTAAAGACTCGAGTCATTATCTGATATATTTATGATGTATAAATAAGATAATTCATTTCGTTAGCTCCATCGAATAACATTATTCTTTCACGTATACATCATTCATAAATGATACGACAGTTCATGGCACAAATAAACGCTTTGCTTATATAAAAAGTCTAAATTTATAAAACCAAATTTTATAAAAAATGATTTGGAATTTTACGAAGAAAATTTCTCCCGAAGGATTATAAAATTAAGAATTGCACGTTCGAAGTTCGTGAGAACGTCTATTGCGCCAAAAGTTGACGACACTTTATTGGAAACGTGACCAAATTTGTAAGCAATTTCATCAACCTGGAAGCGTCCAACAAGAAGAAACAATGCTTCATTACATACAAAGACTCTTTATAACTCAGAATATTGCTGTTAAAAAAAAAGGGGGTTCGTTCTTTTCTATTTACGTCGCTCCTTTGTAATTTTTTTAGGAATGTTTCTAGCGAAGAATTTTAATTAATGCGCTTTAATTATAAGTTACCAGCATTGGCATTATAAACTATTACAGAATATCTGGTTATAGTTTGGAAGCGCTCGAAGTTGTGACGAGTAGATTTCCGTTCTTATCAATCATCGAATAGTCAATATTTATTAAAAGACGTTCTACATTCAATTTAACGATAAAAGAATGAGCCGAGAGAAGATTTATCGCTTACATCTTCGTGTTTTTGCTCACGTTATTTCTTATAAGCGAATATATAATTAAAACTATATTATAAACTTATTCGTATATTGGAAGATACTGTGGCGCGAGAAGGGAACGTGGCCGCGACGTCAAGATACAACCATTAAGACGATGAATTATGCTTAATGTAGTTTTTTTCAGATTTGTGTCGCCGTTTCGTACATTAGTTATAATCATAAATTCTATCGGCCGATAAAACACAATAGTTTACCAAAGGACAGCACGAACAATCTGGATATCGTAGAGTCGCCATCGCGGTGATGCGGCCACGATGACTACTGAAGCGGAATGTAGAAATTTATTTAAAAACTCTTATTACTTTAAATCTATCCATAAAATATATTTATTTTAAAATAAACTTTTTGTTTGAATTTAAAGTTTATGTATAGAGTAAAATTTAATTCGATAGTAACCTTTTCATTGTAAACAGCTAGAAGCTACTACAATTTTTAACATTTTAAATATTCTAATTTAACTTTTACTTTTATTTCGAGGAAGGAATAAAACTTACGGGAATTTCAATAAATTTCATTTTATTTTTTTTCTAGGAATTATATTAGTTGCATCTATTTTCACAATTTAGAATCATGCAAAAAGTTCAAAAAATTTACATTTACGTACAGTTAAACGCCAAAATGAAGTGAATGAACTGTTTAATTTTACATCGCAGACGAAAATAACCGAAATGTTCACTCGCCAAAATAATCGTTACGTCATCGATGACGTCGGAGAAAGAGAAGATGGCGGAATAGAAAACTAATTAAGCGTCTACTGGAGTTAAGTTGTGATTAGGGGCATAAATAACCAACAGATTCTCAGTTTAAAAAAGAAAGAAGTAATTAACGATAAAGAGTAATAAAAACGGTATTTTTCTCAATAAGAGATAAGGAAAATCGCATCTATAAACGCACAAATTCACTCCTTTTTATCGAATAAAGAAATAAGAGCGAATAGAACAATGCGTATGATTTAAGTATATATTTTTGTATAACAAAAAAGTATTTTTTTTAAATATATAATGCATTAATCACATTTTATGAGTCGGCTGTCGTTGAGTTTGCCAGAAAGAACACATATTTGTATATACAAAAGAGCCGTTTAGATTAAGTCGGGCAACTTGTCAACGTTACCGAGTGACGATTTTTTTAAACTAGAAAATTATTTATGTCGCGATACTACTAACTTAGTACAGAAATATTTGTTCTTGGACGATTTTGACGTCAAACGCTTTGCGTGACGTAAATATTCGCTCATAAGTCCGCTCGCGTCAGCCGAAATCGAACCCGAATCAATTTTTCTCTCGTGTTAAACTCGGGGTCGAATTATCCATTACGCAAAGTTCAAAGGGAGAAAAGACCCGTAACGGGCCGATTTTTTCTATCCTTTTTAAAATATACAAGACTAAATAATTGAAAAACAAGTATTTGTTAGGCAGAGGTCCGCGAGTCTCTCGATCCGGTTCTAGTTAAGCTTATTTTTTGCGCTCTGTAAGTGAAGATAACTAAATAAACACGTTTCGCTTTACGCTTTTAGTATTTTTTAATGGCGAGTTGCCTGATAAGGTAAATAATTATAAAGTTCATACAATAAAAATTCTTTCATATTACACAATTCTTTCGTATAATACGAATTACATAAGATAAAAATCTGACGATAACAATGACTGACGACCGCATCTTATTATCTACTACATAATACAATAAAATGATATCGTTCTCACACGGAGATGAAAATTAAATTTACATAAATGTGTAAATATTTATTTTAAGTAAACAAAATTCTACAACCTATTAAATTCTTTTAATAACCACCAAAATAAAGTAGCGAGAAACATTATCAAATAAGAAATATATATAACTTCACCAGAAGTAATAATTTAAAAAATATTTAGAATAATTTTCATCAACTAAAAACAAAGTTAATTAATAAAAATTTGGTAAAAGTTACAGCAAATTTTCTACATTTCTCTTAATAATTACGCAAGTAATAAAGTTAAAGTTAAGAAGATTTGATGGTGTAACTGGAATTGGGGTTTTTTTTTTAAATATATTTCTTTGTCATTTTAATCTTCCTATTAATTAGAAGCTGTACAAATAAGATAAGGTATATTTT